TAACTTTTAGCTCAATTACAAGTTTAAAATTGACATCTAGGCCAGTCAACAAAGGAAAAATTGCGGAAAAAATTTTGTTTTTTTAAAAGTTGAATTAAAATATGTATAATGACATACTAATAGTCCTCAAGATTGTAATTGAGCTTTTTTTTTACAGCCTCGCAAAAGTTCAAAATATGAGCTTTTTTAACTTTCTCAAAAAATATTTAACACCCAAAAAAAAGTTTCGTACAAAAGTTGTTTAAAAGACAATTTTAAACAAAAAATGTATCTTATATTTTTTCATTTAAACAAATATTTTTCGAGTTATNTATAAATAAAAATATAATCTTATATTTTTTCATTTAAACAAATATTTTTCGAGTTACATTACATTTAATATGAGTAATAAAATTTATATTCCATTTTTTTCATTTTACGGTTACTTTTTATCATGTTATAATTACATTAGACACAATGTTATAAATGCATATGTGTGTATGTGTGAGTTTATTTATTTATTGTATCATTAAAGTGTAGTGTATATTGAGATACAACCGATAGAGTAGGTAATTGATTTGACGCTATATTGTCTAAAGCCAACTAAACGCTAAATTGTACATTTCTAACAACAATCATATTATACCAATTGCCACTGGAATTTCTGGTAATCTTTATCTTTTTCTTTGCCTTAATCCCAACTATTTGGGGTCGGTCACCCTTATCCTAAGTTTCCACTTGACACGATCTCCCACATCTTCTACGCTCACATCAGCTGTCCTCAAATCGCATTCAATAGCATCCCTCCATCTCTTTTTTGGTCTTCCTCTATCTCTTCTTCCTTCAACATTCATTTCTATAACTGTTCTTACAGCTTTCGATTCTTCTTTCCTCATACCATGACTAAACAATCTAAGTCTATTTTCTGTCATCTTATCCACGATTGACGCAACACCTATACTTCCTCTTATATGCTCGTTCCTTATCCTATCTTCTCTAGTCACTCCACTCATCCAACTAAGCATTCTCATCTCTGCTACACTTATTCTCTGCTCTACTTTCTTATCAACCGCCCAACACTATGAACCATACATCATAGCTGGCCTCACAATTTCATACTAAATTTAAAAACTATAATTAGTATTTATTCATATATTATATTTTAAAATCAAAGAACTACTAATCAGGATATAATTAAAGAAATAAGAGTTCATGTTGCTTTTAAAATATTTCACCAATTTCTCTAAAGGAAACACTATCTACAGATTTGCATCGAAGCGTTTCTTATGATAGTGATTTTAATCACTGTCAGATATCATCTATACTTGTCCCATCTATGCCTCGTCCACACTGTGCCTCGACCCCACTGTGCTACCGTTTTTCCTATTAATACTATATCGTTAGCAAACAACATACACCACGGCACCTCTCCTTGAAATTCTCTAGTAATTTCATTCATCACTATAAAGAATAAGTAAGAGCTTAAAGTAGAACCTTGGTCCACTCCTCCTACACTTACCCGAAAACCTTTTTTTATCTTGTTTTTGTGATGTCTCTCTTGATGCCTAAACCATTTTTAGTTTAATATCTGCCGGTAAACTGTCCGGTAAATTTCTGTGTTACAGCTTTAGATATAAAAGAATCAGGATAATTAATTAAAACTTTTAAGAAACATAAATCATTAAATGCTGATTGTATGGCAATAGATCCCTTAAACCAAGCCTTGACATAAACTTTTACCAAAAATACACAAATATTATGAAATGCATGTTCTTCTCGTATTTTAAGCTATTTTCTAAACATGTATATTTTTAACGAATAAATTGCTTTAGACATCCATCTAGCATGATGAAAAACACTAGGGTAGTGAAATTTTACACCATTAAGGGGTGTTGCACCCATAAAAATAACACATAAATTCTTTGTAGTATTTTCTACATTGTTGAATTATTAATGTTTCCAATTAAAATTTTTTTACATTATTTTTAGTGTGTACAACTGCATTTTTGATAATTATATCATTGATACCAATATCAAAATTCAACAAATCTAGACTAATCAAACATTCTTTAAATTTTTAAAAATTGATACAACTGGACCAGTTGTACATAAATTAAGTTTAACCTTGAAAACATTTTTTAGTACTAATTCCAAAATATGTCTACGACATGGTAAATACAACACATTGCGCTCTAAGAGTTGTTTAAGCAATATACAAGCGTCATTTAAGCGACCTGTATTAGAAGCTGTTGTGTCACAACACAAGGCCTGTATTTTATTTTTTACATCCCAAACTTGTAATAAATCAAAAATTGCATTTATCTGATTCTCTCCAGAATCACTCTCAATTTTTGGGAACCCAAGTAATTGACTTACACCCTCAAATGATACCAAGATTGGCAATCGATCAACTTTAGCTCTATTTATAATGCCTGGAAGTAGTTTTCCATCCCAATGCAAGACAAGACTATTTTTATCCAGAAATTTAATTTTTTTTTATATCATTTACCTTTCTCTCACTAAAAAATAATCTTCCCCGTCGAATAGTTGATCGGTTGATTATTAACTTTGATACGTTATTACCTAATGCTTCAGCAGTAGAAATAATTAAATGCACAGCATCGCGGTCAGATATCTTGCATTGATCTAATGCAGAAAGTAATTTAGGATTCATAAAAGTTATAAATCCTTGTGTTTTTGAAGAATATGATGAACCAGACAAATCATCTTCTGTTTCATATTCTGAGGAACTAAACAAATTTAACTCAACAACATTATCTAAACAAAAAATGATTAATGATAGAAAAATGATTGTTATTTATAAGTTTTCTTTATTACCTTGCCAGAAAACACGTAAAACAATTTTATTTTTCTACAAAACTAATAGAAAATTAAATTTCAAATAACTTTTACATGAAAATTTTTTTTATAACTTGAACGGTTCATCGTCTATACTTAAATTGCCGAAATATATGAATTTTACTGGTAAACATAATATTTATGGAACTTTTGACTTTTAGGAGGTAAATATTTGACTTATGGGTTTTTCGCTAATAATCTTTTTTGTGTAAAATTATATGTATAATTTCTTTCTTATAAACTTTTACATAAAAATCATATATTTTGAGATAAAGCACAATAACTGAAAAACTACCCTTTTGATCGAATTTTCAACCCTCTTGCGGCACGTGTTAACGTCAACCTATCGGAACCAAATTTTGCACAGTTTATTTTTACATGTATTAGAACAATTTTTTGGTGCGCGTAAATCGAATTTTGAAAATTTGTATTTTAAGGACCACCTTAATATATATATATAAGTGTCAGACTTTACGTAACACTTTCAAAAGTTAAGTCAAAAAAGTTCTACTTTCTATATGCATTTTTTAGATTTGAACCCCCCCTGTATTAAGAGAAATAGTTCGATTTAAAAAAAAAGTATGCCGAATGAAAGATCAATATAAATACTACTAATCATGAAAAAATTGTATTGATCCATACATTATTTAAAAAGTTACTAGTAGAACTTATAGTAAAACCAATACCTTCTCAGCTTCGCATCGAAGCTAAAAATATTATTTTAACATAGTCTAAAAATGCATAAATTATTAAAAAAAGTAGCACAGAACATTTATTAGACCAAAAGTTATTTGATTTGTCATAACAATGTAGATCACTTGTATATACCGATTGGATAATTTCTAACTTTTAATCCAACAATCATTTCACTCTAATTTTACTTTCCAATTTACTTTTTTTTATTATTCTCGGAATTCGTTTATAGTATTTTCTTTTATAAGTTTGTTTTTAATAAGAAAAAAATAATAATGATAAAAATATTCAATTTTTTAACACTTGTCTTACACAAAGATTTGATGTGTCGATAAAAATGAAATGGGTTACAAACATTTTAATAGAGTGGACATCAAAGGCGAAAATTTTGTGGAAGACTTATTAGAAATCTGTATATCACATACAGTATAAAAGCAGACTTGATACACTATAAAAAATCATTATTAAATTCAACAAATTTTTAATCAATATACGTCCAACAATTTTTTTGTTTAATAAATAGTATTTTTTATTAATAACACCAATATTTTTAAATTAAATATTTGTTAATTTGATCAATTTTTAAAATAATTAAGATTCTTCTAACAAAATTAATGGCTAAATTAACAGAAAATTATGATTCATTCAAGAAAAAGTTTACTGGACATATTTTGATAATGCATTTGTTGATTTTATCAGAGGTTATTTTTCAATGTAAATTAAGTTTGTATTTATACTGTTGGGCTTATAGCAATAGCACTAATCGAAGGAAAAGGAAATTGATAAAAAAATTAATATTAAAAATGAAAGTTAAAGTTGATTTTTGATTGAGTCTTTAATTTGAAATATTTTATAAAAGTACAAAATTGTAAAAATATAATCAAAAAAGCTTAACAAAGGGAAAAAATAAAAATAAAATATGCTAAATGTTGTTATAACATGTTTTATAAGTCCATTTTTTTGCCTTCAATTGAAATATATACAGCGTGCTTGGGTCGATTATTTCTTTGATTTTGTATTAAAAGCTTAAAATGTTTCTCAAAGCGATTCATAGGTCTTTTAACAGCCTATATAAAATGTAAAATAATTAACATTATAATAAATTATCACAAGACAAACAGGTAAAATAAAAATTAGGGTTTGTTTTTATATATTATTGGTTTTTACATATTTACCTGTGAAATATTCATATCAATATTTGATTTAGGTCTATTAAAGTACACCTTACTGGATGTTGCAGGAATACGAGCTCTAGATGATGAGTTATTCGTTTTGAAAATAATGGTCTTTGCCCTAAAATATGTAATTATTTCTTTTAATATTGTGGTTAATATACTACATTATAATATAATTCAACTCAAACTGATTTAAATTATTAATATATATACACATATACACACATATATATATATAATTTTGATGATGTATGATTAATCGTACACCTAAATATAGAGTAATATTTAGAACCAATTAAATGAGAGTAGTTGATTTATTAAAGATCACATCTAAGATACTTCATTTAAACATTTAACAGCAGCGAAGTGGGGAACAAAATCATCCTCATACTCTTAATATTATACTCTATGTGCTTATTATTACATTACTTAAAGAATTATCCAAAATTGGTATGACATTCTTTACAGAATCAAATCTCAAAAAAAAATTGAGAATTTAAAATTTTTGTAAAAAGAAGAATTTTCTTCTTTTTCCTCGTCTTAATGTCGGCCATTTTTGGTTCAGGACTCTTTATACTTTTTGACAAAAATTTTACGAAGGCTGTCTATCTGACGCAACCTCATTAGTCGCCTCTTACGACTGGCAGAGGGACCGTGGAATTATTCTTATCCCCTATCTACAGGGACATGTAAAAAGAAGAAAATTAGGTTCAAAAAACTACAATAAATATAGTTAAATAATTTTTTTTCCATTCAATGTTAAAACACATTAAATTCAAATTTTTAAATGGGTACTCCTATTTTGAACTATTATTTAATTTGATAATGATTTATGAAAATAAAATACAAATCTTAATTTATAAATCTTAAATCAAATGGTTTTTAAATACATAGAGTAGGTACGTAGTGCATTTGGATACAGCTTGACTGATGTATGTGCATTTCGCTTTATCAATTCATAAAATTTGGATCACTCTGTATAAACATGTATGTGCGTGTGACACTTTACCAACAGCAGGATGATGATCGACATTAATTTACTCCAACATCTGATTAAGTTATTGCTCCTAATATTTTATAATACGAACATCTGATATCGTATCAGATTTTCGTGGTCAAGTCTTAAAAAATAAATTCGACGACCTTTATTCTTATAAATATTCCGCTTATTGAGACGTCGTGAAAGTTTCACATGTTGTCCACAAAAACGTTATTTTTAAAGAAATTTAAGGTTATACGTAAATAATGGTGCCTCAGACCTAACTGACAATTTACCATAAAAAATGTATACGGTCTAAGACACTATATATAAGTGTACAAAATATATTTTTATACATAGATGATAAAGAATGAATAGGCGGTGGTGACTTATCAGACGTGCCCAAAAATACCTATGGTCTTCCTTTTTTTCATTCCATGAACAAACTTAATGAATAATTTTTACATCTATGATTAATATAATGTAGATTATATTAAAGTTACGACATAATTTCTAACCACGTTAACCGTTGTGGTATATATATATATTCCGTATGACAGGTTAAAGCAACATAACACGATCATAAATATATCATATATAAATAATAATAATAATAATAATAATAAGAAAGTAACATGACATAAATAAAAAACAAATTAATAGGTAAATACAATTACGGTTCCTTTAAATGCATGTATAGAATATTCAGATAATATTGTGGGATATTGTTTGTGATTAGTGTCAACAGTCAATTGTTATTACGTCATCATACGTCAAAGACGTATGATTATCTCATTTATCTCATTATGTATATCTCATTTATGCATCAGATAGTTACACCCAGAACCATATCTTGGTACACGGACCTTGGGCGGCACCAAAATATGAAGCAATAAAAATTATTAAGTTGAAAACTTTTTTTTTTCTTATTCTAATAAAAACAATTCTTTTGATTAAGTAAAATAAAAAGGTCATTAGAGGCGACAAAAAGTCCTAAATATGGTCCTGGTTATAACTACTATGATAGGTATGCCGACGATTCAGAGTTACCTTTATTTTTCTCGGCAGATCATAGCTGAGCAGTTTGATTGTTGGATTAGTAACTAGATTATGTTCATTAGGATTTTCTGAAATCCAATGAGATGCCATTTAATATTATCTTCAAAATTTTCTCGTAATAAATTGTTTGCAGTTACCTATGACGGTTTTCTAGAATTTTCCCAGTGGATAGGGGATAAGAATACTTCCACGGCCCCTTTGCCAGTCGTGAAACGACTAATGAGGTTGCGTCAGGTCGACAGCCGGCGTAAAATTTTTTTCAAAAAGTTGTGCAGTAGCTGTTTCACTAGTCATGAGTACAGGGTACCCAATGCTTGTAGTTTCAACGGTGTAGGGACATCACCACTTAATTCTAGGCTGGATTTGTGTATAAAGGAGAAAGATAGATACAAAGTAAGAATAGGTATTTGGAATGTTGTAACATTAACTGGTAGAAGTAATGTGAACAGTTGTTGTGTGCAGGTAACTAAGTGGAAAGGAGAGAAATTAAGGGAAATAGATGAGGGTTATAAAATAATATACTTAGGGAAGTATAGTACAAAGAATGGTGTAAGGTAATAATGGATGAGAAGATGAAAAGTAGAGTAGTAGAAGTAGCCAGGAAAAGTGACAGAATTATAGTCGTAAAATTGATATTCGAAGAAAAAGTGCTGAATGTAATAAGTGCCTATGCAACACAAGTAGGATGTGATAAAATAGACAAGGAAATGTTTTGGAGAGTGATGGATGAGGTCATGTAAGAGATATCTGACGATGAGGATCCGGTGATAGGTGGTGATATGAATGGACATGTAGGTAATGAGAGGAGAGGATATGAAAGAGTACACAGAGAGTATAGTTTTAGTGAAAGTAAGAAAAAGCAATTCATAGTATGGCAGAAGAGCAAAAGAGGAGAAGATTGGATAGAGTATAAACGCATGTGCAAAGAAGCCAAGTGTGCAGTAAATAAGGCGAAGTTCAAGAGGTATGATGAGTTGTATGATAGGCTAGGAACAAAGGAAGGCGAGAAAGATATCTATAGACTTGCAAAAGAAAGAGAGAAAAGGTCTAAAGATTATCATTATATAAGGCGTATAAAAAGTGTTGATAATAGGGTATTATCGAATGATGATAAGTATTTTGAAAAAATACTGAATGAGAACTCGAAAAAGACATTAGAGGATATCTCGTGGAATGAGGGACTGGTAGATTTAATTAGTGAGAAAGAGGTATGGGAGGCTGTGGCATCAATGAAAAAAATAAAACAGTAAGACCAGATGAAATGCCAGTAGAAGTATGGAAAATATTAGGCGGTGTTGTCAAAGGTGGTTGAAGGAACTTTTAAAAAAAATTTTATTAAGAGGACGCCATACCGGCAAACGAAACAACGATATGACCGAGAGAATGCGCTTTTAGATGTTTTACAACCGAACTCTTCAATCACCCCCTGTCCATCAATCCATATACCATACGCAAACCTGTACGGCCGCCTAATATTATTTTGGAGCAGCACATCATTCTACTATTGACAGTTATGCTATGCGCGTTACATATTATTTTCATTGATAGAGGCGATAAAGCTCTCATAATATAAAACAAAATGAATATGTAATTATAATAAAATATCATAAGATTATAATATAATATTATTTGAAATGCTACCGCTTATTAAACGTTAAAGTGTTGCGAGTATCACATTTGTAGTTAATAATTTATTCACAACTATGAAAAAATTAATTTTATAGATAATTTTATATAATTTATTGTTACATGAAATCTATAATAATAATATCTAGTAATATGTATGTAGTTAGTACTTAGTTAAAATTAAAACATTGTATATAATTAAAATTGTTGAGGAACTAATTATTTAAATTTTTACTGGTTGTAAATCGATTTTTTTCGACCGAAAATAGAAAATAAAAGTTTTTTTATATCTTTTAATGNTCTTTTCGACCGAAAATAGAAAATAATAGTTTTTTTATATCTTTTAATGCATTGTTACTATCCATGACACAATCACCTTTAATTTACAGTCATCTGTTAGTTTTTAGTGCAGTGCGGTTTTGCCTTGCAAATAGTCGGTAAAGTCAAGGGAAAAACAAGAAAAAAATTAATTAAACAAATTTTTAATTATTTTATATATTTTTAACTTCGATGCGAAGCTGAGAAGGTATCAATTTTACCATGATGTTTATTTATTTATTATTTTTTTTTGTGTCTGTCAGTACTTTTTCTCAGTTCTCCTATCACAAATCTCCAAAAAAATTACAATTTTAAAAATCGGTAAATTTTGTCATTTTTTTCACTTTTTTTCTTAAAACTTCCATAACTTTTTTAAAAACCAACAAATCAACATAATTTTTTTTTATACTAAAACCTTAGATATTTCCCTTTTATCTGATATCAATTTTTTTGAAAATTTAACATTTAACCTGTTCACAGGGGCGATTTAGAATAGTAACTTTTTTACAAAAACTAACTTTTTCAAATTAATTTTTGAAAATGTTCCGGAAATAATGCGTCATTTAGACATATATCAAATCAAAGGTTATGTCATGTACTATAAAATGAAAAAAAAAATTTGTCTCGACACCTTATCGTCTATGAGTAAAATATCACTGAAATTAAACAAAAAATGTAATATTTGTAAAAANGTCTAGACACCTTATCATCTATGAGTAAAATATCACTGAAATTAAACAAAAAATGTAATATTTGTAAAAAAAAGCATCTCCTAACGTGATGTTTTTTGTATTTTAAACTACCATAACTTATTGAAATATTAACAAATCATATCAATAGATATTTTCATTATATTAGCATTATTATTTACGTGTAAAAATGAACACAGTAAAGTTAAAATTTAAGTCTCATCACCCGTCAATAATAACAATTATTTTACAAATTCAGATAAGCGACTGCTAAATGGTACCCCGGTTCGTTGATAACAAAGTATAAAAATAAATATATTTAAAAAAAACTAAAAAACACGCTTTTAAAGCACATCGAACTAAAAAGTTAAAAATAATTTTTATAATAAGCTTAAAACAATAATGTACGAAAAGTACTAGTATTATTGTGATAAAAGCGTNAAAACA